AGTTTAGCTTTCTTGTATGAGAGAAAACAATCAGTATTTGTCTTTCTTTGTCTGGTTATTTTTGTTGAACCTGTGCTTGGTAGTTTCATTGTTTCACTCATTTTCCTGCAAATGAGTTGATTTTGTGTGTGTGTGTGTGTGTGTGTGTGTGTGTGTGTGTGTGTAGAGACTGAGACAGGAAGATGAGGAGTTCAAGACCAGCCTAGGCAACATAGCAAGACTGTCTCAAAAAGAAAAAAGAAGGAAGGAAGGAAGGATGGAAGGAGGAAAAAGAAGAGAAAAATAAACAAATAAATAAATAGGGGCTGAAGATATAGCCAGTTAGTTGACAAAATGCCTGCCTAACATGCCCAAGGTCCTGAATTCAATTCCCATCACTGCAGAAAACTGGATGTGCTGTTGCAGGCTGTAATCTCAGCACTTGGGGATTAGAGGTAGGAGCAGAAGTTCAAGGTCATCTTTTCATTCTTGACTATAGAGCAAATTTGAGGCCAGCCCAGGCCACACAAAATTCCTTCCCTCTCTCTCTTCCTTTTCCTCCTCCCACCTCTTCCTTCTTCTAAGACAGGGTCTCACACTATGTAGCCCTGGCTGACCTTGAACTTGCTATGTAGACCAGGCTGGCCTGGAATTTTGCCTCCCAAGTGCTAGGATCACCGTACCTGCCAAGCCCTTCTTTCTAAACAGTGAATGAATGAATGAATGACTAAATAAATAAGCATAGAAATTTCCCCTGTACCTGGTGGCCTAGTGGCCTGGTGGCCTGTCCATGCATTATCTAGGGCTGGCACAAACTCACCAGAGGCTCCTGGACTCTGGAGACCAGTCAGGACTCCCCTTGCAAAGCGACTGCACAGGGAACTGTATAGTGTTGTCTCCCCTCCCTCCTCCCCCCACTGTCCACAGGTTGTGCCAGAATCAAAGGCAGACTCCCCTGTCACAGCCCTGGGTCCATTTGGGGGGTCCTAGGTGATATTTACAAACCGGAAACTGCCTTAGGGAAGGGAGCACTGTTTTTTTTCATTTTTCATTTTAAAGTACCCACTCCCAGAGAGCAAATGGGAGGCCAGGGCAGCGGCTCTGCCAGAGACTTTAAACAAACCACATTGCCCGCAGGTCTGCTTCATGAAGGAGGGGATTTACTCCTTATCCCTGCGCCTCAGGAGTGTTAACAGCAGAATTAATACTGGGGGATCTGGCAGGGGCTTGCTTTCTCCAGGGAGCCGTGTCTGTACCTCTTTGCAAGGCATTAATCACCTGTTTATACAGCAGAAAGAAAACACACGTGCACACACCCACCAGACAGGAGATTGTGAAGATGACACTCAGACCCGGGTGCCCTCCCTGGAGGAACCCTCCAACCTCCATTCCTCTGAAGCCAGGTCAGCTTGCCTTGGTCCAAGCTTCTAGACCCATTGGAGGTAAGGGCAGACCCTCAGGAGGTCAGGGACAGCCAGGGGAAAATGTGTCACTTTGTTACTTTTTTTATTTGACATCTATCTATCTATCTATCTATCTATCTATCTATCTATCTATCTATCTATCTATCTATCATCTATCATCTATCTAATCTACTTAGCTAGCAGAGCTGGGGATAGAACCCAGAGCCTTGGATGTACTAGGCAAGCACTCTACTGGGCTATACCTCAAACCACATTAAAAAAAATTTTTTTGAAGCATATGTTTTATGCTAAAGAATATATTTTTAATCAACTTATTTTTATTAGCTCACCCATCCCCTTTCTGAGACATGGTTTCACTGTGTAATCCTGACTGGTCTGGAACTCACTATGTAGATCAGGTTGGCCTGCCTACCCCTGTCTTTGGGCTACTGCTCCTGGGATTAAAAGTGTGTGCCAACTCCACAGGCTTTATTAACTTTTTTTTTAACTTAAAAAAATTTTTTATTATTTTTTTAAATTTTATTTATTATTTTTATTTTATGTGTATGCATGTATTGCCTGCATGTAGGTAAGTGCACCTGTGTCTTGCAATGCCCACGGAGATCAGAAGAGGCTGTGATCCCCTGGGGGACTGGAGTTATGGACAGTTGCTAGCTGCCATGTGGGTGCTGGGATTCGAACCTGGGTCTTCTGCAAGAACAACCAGTGTTCTTAACCACTGAGCCATCTCTCCAGTCCCTTACTATTTTTATTTTATGGGTATGTGTATATTGCCTGCATGTAGGTAAGTGCACCCATGTCCTGCAATGCCCTCGGAGGACAGAAGAGGCTGTCAGATCCCCTGGGACTGGAGTTACGGACAGTTGTTAGCAGCCATGTGGGTGCCGGGATTCGAACCCGGGTCTTCTGCAAGAACAACCAGTGTTCTTAACCACTGAGCCATCTCTCCAGCCCCTTTATTAACCTTTTTTTTTTTTTTTTTTTTTTGTCTTTTTGAGACAGGGTCTCCCTGTACTTCCAGTTGTCTTAGAACTCACTATGTAGACCAGGCTGGCTTCGAACTCACAAAGATCTGCCTGTCTCTGCCTCCCAAGTGCTGGAATTAAAGGTGTGCACCACCATGCCCGGCTATTAACCTTTCTTAAAACAACTTTTTACGTGTGTGTGTGTGTGTGTGTGTGTGTGTGTGGTTTAAGTGTGATATGTTGTCTGTGTGGTGTATGTGATTGTTAGTGTGGGCTTGTACATGTGAGTCACAAACATTGTTGTCCCGCCCTGCTCAGCTCTTTTTGTGGGTGCTGGGGATCTGTTTGAGGCAGGCACTTTACAGACTGAGCCCGCTCACTAGCACCCCTCCCACCAGATTTCGTTTAACAATTCATTTTGGTTCTATAATTAAGGTTTCCCCACCCCCACCCCAGGCAAAATCTTACTCCATAGCCTAGGCTGGCCTGTAATTCACTCTGTTGCCCCAGCTAGCCTTGAACTCATGGTAATCCTGCCTTGGCCTCCCAGATGCTGGGATTACAGGTATGAACCACCATGCCTGGTAGAAGTCAGCTTTATTTTAAAAAGAGAGACTGCTGGGTGTGGTGGTGCGTGTCTTTAATCCCAGCCTTCGGGAGGCAGAGGCAGGCAGATCTCTGTGAATCGAGGCCAGCCTGGTCTCATAGTGAGTTCCAGGCAGGTTGGGATGGGGGGCCGTGGAGAGGGGAGAGAGACCAAGTTAGACAAAGTAGGCAGTCTATAGGGAAATAGTACTCAGCACACAACTGCTATGGGTAAATTACAAATATCTGCTACACAAATGATAACTGTGTGGAGTCAGGTGTTACTCAGACTTGAGCCAATTTTTTTTTCCTCTGCCTTCATCAATAATGTATGCGGTACCCCATCAACTGGACCTTGAGACTTCTGCCTGCATTGCAAACAGATCTTGCTAAATTGACAGAAAGAGCTGGGCTGAGCAAGAGCTGCTGAGAACAGTTTCCATCTTGAAACCCTCAGCAGTTTGGGCATGTGTTTAATAGCATTGGCCTCAGAAGGTTCCAGCCCAACCTTTCTTCCTCCTCTTCTCTGGTCAAGAGCATCACGTTACTTCACCCAAGATGTTGGAGGGATCCTTAAAAAAGGCCCCTCTATGGTCAGCACAGCCGGCTACCCTACTGTCTCAAATCCATTTGCAATGGCTGTAAAAGATTGTCAGCTGAGCCCAGCAGTAAATCTTCCCTTTTCATTCAAAAAGGCTGACAAAAGGGCAGGCTGGTGAAGTCACTCTAGCTGGCTAACTTTGCTCCCGCTGTAGTGCTGGCTTCCCTGGCTTGACCACACAATCCCATTTACCATCTTGTTTCTCCCTGACCAGTGCCCACATGAGGCACAGAATCTGATGCGTGGTGTCCGGGTGATGGAGAAAAGATGAGACTGAACTCTTGGCTCCTGGGGTTCCTGGTTGTTGAAACCATGCAAGCTCCATTCTTTCTGTGTCTTTGTGAAAAATGGCGAGATTTGCCTGGAAAACAGGTTTTTCTGGCTGATTAGCCTTAAGATGGATGTTTCTCTTGACAGAGGGAAGCCAGGACTGTCAGGAATGTTTCCAGGCAAAGGGGGGGTTGGAGGTGGTGCCTGGGATGGAGATGAAGGGGGTGCAACAGGAGACATCTTTCTGAACCCAGGTCTCAGGATAGTTCCTGCCCAACCTGGTCAAGAGTTCTAGAACACCAAAGTATCCCTTAGACTTATTGATTGGAATTTCGTGGTCAAGGCAGACAGACAAGCTGGCAGAAAAAATGAGCTCTAGATTCTGAGTGAAAATAACTGGCTTCAGACTCATCTATTCTTGAAATGATGCGTAAAGTCAGCCAAACGCTCTCTCTCTAGTTCTCAGTACCCATGAACTAGTCCAGAGCTCCTTGTTCTACCTCCCGGGGGCCCTTGGAGAAAATCCTTGGCATACTTGAACTTGCAGAATGTTTGGAAGCTGTTATTCTTATTATGGTAATTATGACAATAAAGGAGACACCTCTTGGGAGTGAAATTAATTGACATTTGAAAAACATATGGAAAGTCTCTCCACTGTCCAAGCTGGAAAAGTGTGAACTGGAGAGAGTTTGTGAAATGATGCAGGAGAATTGCTATTGTTCCAGTTGATGTTCGGATAGGCTGCTCTTCAGAGGTGCGGAAAGATGAATTCTAGGTTGTCCCATTCTCCGAGGAAGAGATGGCCAGGGAAGTGGGGAGGTAGAAATATTCACGCACTTCACACACATTAAAGGGTACCCAGAGCTGACAGCCTAGGAAAGTTTCTATCATCTCTCCCTCTCTCTGACATATTTCCCTATAGCAGATATGGATCATTTAAAAATTCAAGGCCAATCATTATTCACTACCATCTTTAATAATTCCCCAGTACTATTAGGAGAAAGATTGAAAAATAATAATTAATAGACTTGGGAGACCCTGCCAAGCTCTAACCACTTGCATCTTGTCCAGCTCCATTTATCTCAAGTTAAACTCCTTTTTCTTACTTTCACCTTTTGGTAATTTGAACTACCGACTCCCAAAATTCATGTCCTCCCACGCCCTTGCCTTTTACAGGTGACTTGGCAACGCTGTACCTGACCTTTGACAGTTAAGACTGATCATGTGACTTGCTTGGGCCAATCAAAGCTAGACAAAAGTGACAGCTGACCAGTTCTGAGTTTCTCCTGTATTATGCCAAACACCTAAGCCCAGTATGATCCTTATCCCAGCCCACCTCCACCACCAAGAACACGGGGACTGTCTTTATTCTATTTAACAAATCAAGAAACTAAAAAACAGACAGGCTGAGTCACTTACCCAAGGTTACAGATCAAAGGGGTCACAGGGTCAGGGTTGGAACTCAGCTATCCTGGAGTCCTGACTGTATGCCTCCATCACCAGGAGCCTGGGAACCTGTGACTCTGAACTTGAGCAATAGCAAGTTTCAGAACTGTTTGCGTGAGGGGGCAACGTGGCCAGCTGTGGAAGCCATGCCACCTGGTGTGGGACAGACATCTGTGGCACTGACAGACTACAGTGAAAGAGCAGACACAGGTCCCCAGGGATGAGGAGTCACCCAATGGAGAGGTCAGTTTAGCAAACACCTCAGAGGCTCTGCCAAGTTCTCAGAAGCAGGAGCAGATTGGCAGCTGTGGAGAAGCACAAGATGCTCAGGGAAAGACAAGCTTCAGCGGGGGTGGGGAGCTAGTGATTCTCTTAGGCTCAGACCTCAGAGCTAGTGGGAAAAACCCAAGTTGGGGTTACAGTGCATAAGTGGGGAGAAGTGAGATGTGAGAGAGAGAGGCAGCCAAAGAAAGGGCTAATGGGATGACAAGGGAGACTTTAAAAGGCAATAAATCTGGCAGCCTGGCTGGTATTTACCCAGGAATTATATAGTGGGTGGTTAACTCTTTATACCCTGCTCACCTGAGACTGCATGGGGTCCCACCAGGCTCCTATCAGGGGCCTTGGACTCACTGGGAGGGGGTGAACTCCCAGGACAGGCTGGGCTCTGGGCTAGGAAGGGCCCCAGGGAGACTTTGGAGATGAACCGGCACCCCAAACGGTGGGATGTTGGGCTGGTGGTGGAGCCTTCCCTCACCCCAGTCACTGGGGGACATTCTCCGGAATTGTTAATCAGCCCATGGGCAGCAGAGAACCACAGGGCATCATTTATTTACCTTCCCTCTGACAAAACCCTTCCCAGAAGGCTGGGGATGGTAATTCTCTGTAATTATAACTCAGTGAGGTTCTGAGGTTCTCAGGCCTGTTAACTCCTTCGTGCTCATGGCACACCTGGGAGAAACTTTGGAAAGCAGAGTTGATTCTCACCTTCCAGCTGGGGGAAACTGAGACATTCTGCTGGCTTTCTATCTAGCTTGGGGATGCAAATCTGAAGAGTTTAAGGGAAAAAGAAAAATCAGATATTCAGGCCTGAGTTCAGTTACTTTTCTACCCAGGAATACTATGTGATTGGAAAGTTACTAAACCCTTCTGGGCTTCAGCTTGATGGACAGATGAATAGCTCCAGATGCAATGGGTGTGTGACTTCTGATTCTCAAGTCTGTCTGGGAATTGAACTCATCAATGAGCCTTAGAAACATGTCATGTTCATTGTGTGATGATGAGAGTAGATTTAGGTTAGATTATAAGTTGAATTTTACCACATTGTCCATCAGGAACATTGGGATGGTTCCCTCAGGAGCTTCAGTCTAAAGTTAGACCGTCTCATGAGAATGGCTCAGTGAGCTAGGATACCAACTGTATACTTCACAGCAAATGACTGGTCCAGAGGTAGAACGTAGAGCTGATGGATTCCAAGAATGGCAGCAGAAAGTCCCACCATGCTCCTCTGCATTGAGCTTTTGTTCCTCCAATCAAGAACTGGAGTCTGTGTCCCTTGCCCTTGAGTTCAGGTGGATCCTGGTACTTACTTATATGGAGAAGACATGGTGGGATGGATGCCTGGAGAGAATCTACAGTTCTGGATGGAGCTGTGGCTCACTTGATAGAGTGCCCATCTAGTATGCTCAGAACCCTGAGTTTGATCCCCAGCACCAAATTAACTGGATGTGGTGACATCTGCCTGAGGAGGTAGGGGCAGAAGGTTTAGGAATTCAAGGTTATCCTCAGCTACATAGAGAGTTCTAGGCAGTCTGGGCTACATGAGACCCCCATCTCAATGAAAATATAAATAAAAGAAACTAGGATGTAGGTCAGTGGCAGAACACTTGCCTAGCATGTAAGAGGCCCTGCTGGGTCTATCCCTAGTGGCGTAACCCCCTCCCCCCAAAACCAGAATATTTCCTTTCCAGTTCCAACTCTATATTAGTCAGTCTGTAGGCAAGAAATGATTCCTCCCAGGCAATTCAACCAGGGAGCATTTAGTACAAGGATGGTTTTCAGGGCTGTTAGTAGGTTAGGAGGCTCCAAGTTTGAAGCATCTTGAAGCTAGAGCCACCACACCCCTGGGCATCAGGGACAGAGACTGGGATATGGATGCCCACGTGGGCTGGACCCAGGGATGCTGGGTTGCCCAGTGTGAACTGCAGTCCAGGAAGATCACAGTCCCTTAGAGGGAGAGGCCAGGACATGGAAGTCCAATTTCACCTCACCTCAATCCACCCTTCTTCCCATCACCACCAGTGTTTCTCATAAACTGGGCCAGTCAGAAGCCAGAGGCCAGGGACTGGCGCTGCATCCTTAGGAGCTGCCCCCAGGGCACAGGCAGAGAAGGCGGACTATGGTCCCACAAGTTAGGGTGAGGAGCAAGCTGTTCCCAATTGGTCTGTGGGCTAGCCTGTCCCCCTGCCTCCTATTGGGATCACAGGCAGTGATGGCGACCTTGGGACGAATTTCTTCAAAGAAAGAGAAGGCGGCACGTTTCAGGATGTGTGCTGGGAATTTCCTGGAACCACGGCACGTTCCCTAAGCCTTGCGCCAGACGCCCTTGGCACTGTCAGCACCCAGATAGGCTCAAGTGTGTCACTGTCTCACTTGGGGAAGAATTTGGAACCTGTATCTCCCAGACACTCTCCAGCCCTTCCCCCAAGAGTCTCATTTTAAAGGAAGTGTTTATTACCTTAATTAGTTGATTTTATTATTTCCCAGCTGTGGAACCTTGGGGCTACGCAACGGTCCTCTTTGGGTTTCAGTTTTCTCATCTGCAAACTGGAGGCTTGGAATGAGTTAAGACCGTCCTTGTAGGACAGAGGATGTGGCTCTCTTGATGGAGTGTTCACCCAGCATGCTCAAGCCCAGGGCTCTATCCCCGGTGTTGCATAAACCTGGAGTGGTGGACCATGCCTGTAATCCCAGCACTCGAGAGGTGGAGGCAGGAGGACCAGAAGTTCAAGGTCATCCCTGGCTAATTAAGGAGTTTGAGGTCAGCCCCTGCTACTTGAGACCCTGTCTCAAAACAACAACAAACCACCACACACACACACACACACACACACACACACACACACACACACACACGCAGAGTCAGCAACAAGCATGTTTGAAATGCTTAGGAAAAGTACCCAGTAATTGATTATTTGCTCTTCTTCATCTTCTCACCTTGATTTTTCTTGGTCATGGAGCATAAATCTTAT